ACCAGACTCAAACACCAAGCCTAAAGGTAAAGTTTGCTACCTTTAAATACTCAGAAACTACAATCAGACAGATCCAGGCAACTCTATAAAGTGCCAGCAGAACTTCCTGATGGTGCCCCAGGTCAGCAGTCTATAGCAGAACCCAGAAGTTCCAAAGTCCAGACAGGAGCATAGCTAGTGAAAATTTGAACTCAATGCCCAAGAGAATACCTAATTAAGGAGCTTTACCCAAAATCTTTCAACATGGTGCTGCCATTTTTCTTCACAATCACCTTTGAAATAAAGGCAAGAAGCCAAAGTCCCAATGGGAATTATTTTGACAAGAACATTCCAGCTTCACCTGCTAACAGGTCTAGGCCTCTCACTTCTACCAACATATAACAGTGTCGGGTGCCCCATTCCTCCTGCTTCTTTGCGTGTCCTGACCAAAAATCACAGAGTTGCAGGTTTTTCCCAGCAGGCTTGAACATTCCCAGGCACTGATAAAGGTAACTAAGTTGTTGCCCAAAACACTGAAAGAAACTAGCCCCACTCTGAGCCAAATTCCTTAATGCCTCACATAAACAGCATACTCTGACCCCTTTGCTGCAGACATAGATAGAACATCCCCATCCTCTCACTATCTCTGGTGGGTACTGCTGCAGCACACACTCTGAAAGTTCTCCTAATAAATGCTTTGGACTGTCACCAAGCATTTAGTGCTTCTTTCTTTTGAATCCCAATGGCCCCATCTTGGGATGGTTTGGGAGAGTCCCTTGTGGAAACTCCCCTGGCACCACTTTGGGGGCAATCCTAGCCACAGGTTCAGTGGGACAAAACACACAAACAAGTGCATTTGTCTATGACACAGAACCATGACCTCTGAAGATACTTTTAAGCTCTCTTAGAGGTGTCCCTGGAACAATTTAGTTGAGTTTCTGCAGTCAGAAGACATGAATGAGTCTGCCACACCCATCATTGGTCCCTAGCTCCCAGCACACTTAGGCACACAGTAGACATTCAACGGATATTTGTGGAACACCAACTATTGAATACCAGTGACTTAATTCTGTTTCCCAGCATGTGATCACTCCATATTCACAGCATCAGGCAATTACATGATTGACCAGGCAAGTCTTCCCTCACCTGTTCCTGGGCACCTTGGGAGGCCATCTAGCCAGAAATACCCATCTCCCAACTCTCATGGTCCATACCTGCAACAATTCTGCAGTCTTCACTGATAATCCAGTGATGTGCTGCATCCGATGATTTACTCGGGCCACTACAGGGTCGTCATCCTCCTCTAGCCAGGAGCTGGGCCAAAAGAAAAGGGTGGAAAAAAGTTGATGGGGAGGGCAGGCTTAGATAACATCCTGCATTCTCACTGCCAGCACTAACAGGCAGTACAGCAAGAGTGCCAGAGAGGGTGAGGAAGTGTCAGAAGGCAGGAGAAGCTAAGCCACCCTCCTTTGAGTAGGAACTGGGAAGTCCTCAGGTTGGAACTTGAGCTCTTCCTCCTCCTCCTCCTCCTCCACCTCCTCTTCCACCAGCACCATCACCTTTGTGTACCTTTTAGAAACCCTGTAGCTGGCAACAGTGAGGACACCTGTCTTGGGATCACGGACAGTGGCTCGTGCAAGCTGGAACAAAGGAAGAGAAGGCCTTGAGTACTTTTCCAGGGAGTACTGAAACCAGATTTGCTGCCATGTTAGCAGAGAAAGAGGCTTTGCAGGCAGTGACGTGACTCTAGCCAAGGGCCCATGATCCTACAGACCAGGTCGGGGCAGAACTCTGAGGCCTCCACATTTCCAATGTGCTATCAGACCCTGGCTGGCCACTGCCCTGCTCAGCCAGTGCTCAGCCTTCCTCCACAAGGTCTGTGCTGCCTGAAGAACTATGCCTATGGAGTGTGCTTTGTCTATCCACACAGCTGCCTGGCCAGGCCCACATACCAGCCCCGCCTGAGAACAGCCTGAGCTTCGCTGCTCCCACCACATTCAGAGTGAGCCATCATCCCTGAGCCTCAACCTTATGTACTTCTCTCAACTTAGTGAAGTTCCACCATCCTTCCGAACCTCAGTGGCTCCTCCACTAAGAAACCCATTCACACACTCTCCTGCTTCAACCTCACACCAGGTGCCCATTGCTGCAAAGAACAAAGACAGAAGGCCCAGTTTTCATTCCCTCGTGACCCTCACAAAATCAGGTGAAAAAATCTAAGTTAAAATAAATGTACTGCTGCCTGGAAGCCACCCACTCCACACACATGCTCGTGCATATACACATCCCTCACCTACCTCATCTCCCCCTAGTCCCCACAGGCAGGACTAATAGTCCCAGGAGAACCATGCTGCCCAGAGACAGTCCCCATGGCAAAGGCTCACAAGCTTCAGCAGTGGACTGGCCTAACGACCTTACATGGTGGGGCCCAGATACTCCTACCCTAACAGCACTTCTCTTTAATTTCAGTAAATATTTGATGAGTACCTACTAGGTACCTGGCACTACTGGGTGACTGAGACATGACCCCTGCCCTTATACAATTCTGTCATGTGGCAAAAGCAAAAAACCAACCAGGTAACTTCAGCACAGCATTGGTCAGCCAAATGTCCTCTAGGAGCTTGCTTATAATAGGGCCGAAAGTCACTTCCCAGAGGAGGGGACCTCCTAGCTGAGACTGAAAGGTAAACGTGAGCTAGCCAGGTCAAGGAACATTACAGGCATAGGGAAGGCACAGTGCAGAGGCCCAGGGATAAAAAAA